TGAGCACGCGCAAAGACGTTGGCGCACCTCGGCGAGGATCTCATCAGGGGACCGAAGAAGCGCATCTGCAGCCTCGGTCCGGTGTACCGGTGAATAGGGCAGCGGCGGCGGAGGAGGCGACCGTGAAGCGACCTCAAAGCGGTGTGGCGCGAAGAGCCGTGTGGAAGGAGGTGTTGTAGCGATACTCCGCCCACGACGGTAATCCACCCACACGCGGGCGATCCCCGTCACACTAGCGGAGGTACATGGCGATGACCTTGTTCACCACGGACTGGCCATCCGTTTGCGGATGGAAAGCTGTGCTCATGCGCATAGCTGGGACGCCCGCCATCTTGAAGATGTCTCGCCGCCAACGTGCCCGGTGAACACGGGGTCCCGGTGCGGTGACAATGGACAGCGGAAACCCGTGAAAGCTTAACGATGCGCGTCGAAGAAGAAGCACGCGGCGGCGCAACGCGTAGCGATGTAAAGGGTGGCGCGGCGCGATGAAGTGGGTGTACTTGGAGAAGCGATCCACCACCGTGAGGATGACCGACTTGCCCGCAACCTTGGGCAAGCCCTCGATGAAGTCGGCGAGATATCCGCCCACACTTGGGTGGGGGGCGTCTAGAGGCTGCGGCAAGCAAGCCCAGCGGGCTGAACCGTCTCCGTCTTATTGCGCGGCGGCTTGCGTGGTGCAAGAACGCAGCAGGTCCTGCACCAACACACGATCACGAGGGATGTAGAAATCTGCACGGAGTCGATGTAGCGTCTTCTGGGTGCCCTCATGGCCAGCTGAGTGAGCCAAGAGGAGCACTTGCTGACGCAAGTCCCCTTGGTCCGGCTTGCGTGAGACGCGGAGCCATGGATCGAAGGCCGTCGACCCAGCGCCATGGGGCCGCCCGGCTCCCCGCTACAGAGCTGCGCCCGGCGATTCTTTGGGCGTCAGCGTGGGCTGCTTTGTTGCTTGCCGGATGGCGTCCAGAAGCTCAAAGGATGGTCCCGACATGGGGAGGGCTGCTACAGCCATGGCCACCAGGACGGCTGCCCCCCCATCTACCAAGTCCCGACGAGAGAGAGCGTCTGCTACGATGTTCAAGCGGCCCGGACGGTACTCTACCGAGAAGTCGAAACCAAATAGCTTGGCGATCCATTGATCTTTGCGGAACTATAGACAATCGTTGATCAAGCAAAAATTTCAAAATTGTAATGGTCGGTCGCGAACCAAAAAGTGGCGCCCCCACAAATATAGGCGCCAATGGCGAACGGCCTGAACCAAGCCGATCAACTCCCGCTCATAGGCCGCCAGGTTGATGTGATAGGCCGCGAAGGGACGGCTGAAGTAGGCGAGGGGCCCGACGCCCTGGTGGAGGACGGCGCCGAACCCTGCGCCCGACGCGTCGCAGTCGACCACGAAGGGCTTAGTAAAGTCTGGCATCTTAAGAATAGGTCCTGTGGTCAAAGCGCGCTTGAGCGCCTCGAATGCCCCCGAAGCATCGTCGTCCCACACAAACGCGTCCCGCCGCAAGAGACGCGTGAGTGGGGCGGCGATGATGCCGAAGTCCTGAATGAATTTCTAGTAGTAGCCCGCGAGGCCAAGGAAACCACGCAGGCCACGGGCAGAGCTCAACAGGGGCCACGTAGCCACGGCGGTGACCTTGTCAGCGTCCATGGCGACGCTGCCCTCGGAGATCACGTGGCCCAGGTAGGCCACTAACGATGCGCCAAACGAGCACTTGGATCGTTTCAAGTGAAGGTGGTGTACCCGAAGCGCGTGGAGGACGATGTTGACATGCGGCAAGTGCTCGGCCCATGATGGACTATAAATTAATATATCATCAAAAAATACCAGCACAAACCGCCGTAGGTAAGGCTGAAGGACGTCATTCATCAGCGCCTGGAAGGTTGCCAGGGCATTGGAGAGCCCAAATGGCATCACCAGAAACTCGAAGTAGCCCTGATGGGTGCGGAAAGCCGTCTTGTCGATGTCCTCCGGGTGCATGCGCACCTGATGATAGCCGGAACGAAGGTCAAGCTTGGTGAAGAAACGAGCCCCATGGAGCTCATCCAGCAACTCATCAACCACCGGAATTAGGAATTTGTCCTTGGAGGTCTTGGCGTTGAGGGGGCGGTAGTCGTCTGAAGCGCCACGACTTGTCCGCCTGCGCGCACCAGCCGGGGCGGGCACGGAGAGCGGCGAAGTGCTCGGCGAATGATCCTGGGCAAGCATCGCTGCACATTGGCGCTCGAGCTCGTCCTTCGCAGGTTGCGGGTATCGATGCGGCCGCACGCGCCATCGGGGCCGTCCCGGGCAGCAGGTGGATGCGGTGGTCGTAGGGGCGCGCCGGAGGGAGCCCAGTAGGCTCGTCGAAGATGTCACCGTGCTGCGCCAACAGGCGATCCAGGAGAGGTAGCCACGGGTCAGTCGTGACCGCGGTCACCGGCTGCTGTGGGGAGGGCGTATGAGGGCCGGGCACGCCACGCCAGTGTGTGGTGGCCTCCTCCGTAACGCCATGGTAAGTGCGTCGCAGTCCCACAACACGGGGCCCAATGTGCGAATGAAGTCAAAGCCGATGATGAAGTCGAAGGCGCCCGAGTTGAGGCCAACACACGTGATGGTGAAGTCCTCGTCGCCCGATGCGAGCGAAAGCACGTTCGAGCAATGCCCTCACACTCCACGTGCTCACCATTGGCGATCGTGACACGGAGGTGGTCACCCCAGTTGGAGACAGCCCAAGCGGCGCAACACAGCCCCTTGGACAAAATTATGAGTGGAGCGGTGTCGAGGAGGCGAGGAAACTCTCATCTTTGTGGTGACGGAGAAGCGACATGGCGTTGGCGGCGATTCCTGCAGCTTGACATGGAGAGAAACGACAAAGGCGTTAGCGGCGTCTGCTGCATCACCGGCCACACCTTGGCCGGCGGCTTTCGTCTGGAAAGGCGGGCTGCGTCGGCCTGCGCAGAGCACACCTCCCGGCTGCCTCGTCGTGAAGTCCATAGACTCGAGTAAAAAACAGCGAGAGGCACACATAGCCACGGACATAGGGCTCGTCGCGGTTGAAGCACTGACCCTTGATGGCGGCGCTCAAGCTATTCACGCCGGTGAGGCGCACGGAGAACACGCCGGGGGGGCGCCGCCGCCTTGCAGGGCAGCCGCCGGATGAGCTGGAGCCCCGCGCTAGTGGCGGAACCGCGAAGCGGCCGGGAGCGAGGTGGAGGCCGGGCACCCGCTGAGGTGGCGCCGTGGGCATGGCCGCCGCCCGCCGCTCGAAAAGCCCGTGCCAAGTACATGCATTGTATCTGGATGTCACTGGGATCGCGCATCTCCACATCCACCGAATGTACTCGGGAAGGCCCCCGACGAAGAGATCGGCCTTCTGTTTGGCCGAGACGCCACGTGCATGGCAGGACACCGCCTGAAAGTGGTCGGCGAACTCCTGGACCGTAGATTGGAACGGCAAGCGCCCCAACTCCGCCAGCCGAGTACCGCGAACTGGCGGTCCGAAGTGTTGGCGGCACAGCTCGACGAAGCGCTCCCAAGAAGGCATGCCCTCATCCTGCTCGAGGGCGTAGTACCAGGTTTGCGCCGAGCCCGGAGGTGGTACAGCGCAATCCACGTTATGTCGGAGGCCGGCAATCGTTGGCCCCGGAAGAATTGCTCGCAGTGGTTGAGCCAATTCAGGGGGTCTTCCGAGCCGTTGTACGTTGCGAACTCGAGGCGATGCATCTTGGGCGGCAAGCGGTCGAGACCGCCCCCCATGGCCTGCCGAGGCGCTCGTGAGGACCTCTCTGGTCGGCCCTAGGTGGCACGGCCGCGTAGGCCGCCACAGAGGCGCTGGTGTCGTGGAACAGCGGCCCGTCCATGCCGCCGTACAGGATCCCTGCTGCATAGGGTCCCCCATGGGCGACCGTCGATGGAGCCTGAGGGATGGTGGACCGGCGGCGCACCGAGGAGTATAGTGGCGCGGTCGGTCATGGAGTGGTGCGTCGCCGAGATCAAGGCCCAAGCCGGAATCGGCGACGGCGAAAGCGGAAATTGCAGCATATGGATCGGGACCTGGGACACCGACGGCTGAACGGAAGTCGACGGCGACGGCATGGAGTCCGTAGGCATCCCGTAGGGGTAGGTGATTTGCGGCATCGAGACGGATGAGGGCAATGGCAGCGGCGGAGGAGGAGGATGTGACGGCTGCGGTGGTGGAACCACGTACTGGCCGCTCAGAAACGCCTTCATCATGTCCTGCAGCTCCTTCACGCCATGGCTGAGATTGACGATGGAGGTCGTCACCTCCTCGGGCGTTAACACCCGCCGCGGCGCGACGGTGGTCGTCAAGGATTGGGAGGGCGGCACCACCAGAACGCCCACCGTAGCAGGGGGCGCGGTGGAGGCGGTCGGCACCGGCGGGATCGCCGGCGATGGCGCGGCGGAGGAGACAGCGGGGGTGTCCATGATCGACAAGGTCTCTGGTACCAAGCTGATAGGAACCGAGGTTTCTCCTTTGACCGAGCGTAGGTTGTAGCGGTGGGTGATCGGGTGCCGAGGCTTAAACCGCGTGGACCACGGCGGGGCGCCGTGATCTCGCGAAGGGAGAGGGTGGCGGCGCTAGAGTACCGGCGCTACAGTGCCGTGATACTGTTCACGGAAGAGAGAAGGTGGCTAGGGTTTCTCCCGACTCCCTTAGGAAGCCGGAAACAATAATTGTTTCTGCTTACTTTCCTCAATAGAGTTTACATGTATTTATATGTCTCTGAATAATAATAATAGAAAATAACTCTAATATTATGTAAAATATGATAAATATGGGCCTTGAGCCCCCTAACCCGCCGGCCTCCTCTAGCCACTACTGGGCCTTCGCCTGGAGTACTGGATGCCGGTCATAACAATGGTTCACTTTTTTTTTTTGATGAAACAGGAGGGATGTGAACCCCTACTGGAATTGAATAATAAAGGTAAAAGGACAACCCCTACTGAAATATGGTTCACTTTGCAATTTATTCAGGAAAAGGAATTTTGCACATACTTTGGAGTAACTCCTATTTCATGACAAAATATACATCTGTCCAGCTTGAGATCAACTCTATGCTTTAGTTTGGTTCCATCAGCTGCAGTAAGTTAGAACTTCAACTAGGACCTTGTTTTACCAACCTTGGTACAAAGAATATGATATAAAACTGCAAACTAGTGTAAATAAGATACCTGAGACAACTCCAATTACTAGGAATGGCTTCTTTGCATTTATTCCATAGATGACAAGATCGCCTGATCCAGGAGCTACCTAGGTTACGTTCATGTGAATCAAAATGAATTCGTTGGTTCTGCATATTCATAGAGTGCAGAAAGATGTATCATATTTTGGTTTGTAGTTATTAGAAATTGTATAGCCACCGCACATTATACTTTACTGTCATTATAAGGCACCTCACCTATATATAAGCAAGTGGCTTGTGCCTAACTTACTTAGTGACCGAGTGGCTGAGTGGCGTTGTGACTAATTGATTCATCAGTTGGCCATGCGTCTTAGTGATACAGTGAGTGAGTGACTCAGTGCCAAGTGGGCAAGTGGCCAAGTAGCGTGTAGTGACCGAGTGACCGAGTTGGTGAGTACCGAGGGGACGTGTAGCCGAGTGGACGAGTGGTTGAGTATCTGACTGACTAAGTGTCGTGTGGCTTAACAGCCGAGTGGCTAAGTGACTAAGTGATTGAGTCATGTGCTTGTGCAAGCCCTGTTCGCTTCGCTGAAAAGTACTGTTCGTTAATTTATTGTGAGAGAAAAACACCGTACAAATGTCTGATAAGCCAGGTCGATAAGTTCAAGCAAATATATTAAATTCATGACCTATGGAGAGATCTCAGGTGGCTGCACCACCCCCTTGTTACCTACTGATCGAAATAAATTAAAATTTGTGGGTTCTGCTTTTTTTTTTTGACTAAATTTGTGGATTCTGTTGCGACTGCAAGTTGAAACCATCTGGTGATTAATTATTTTTGGAGCGCATAAATGCTTGTTTTGTTATATATGATAATGATATATAGGCACGCTACTTTTCCTGATATGACATATGTCACTGTCTTACTCTTTGTTTCTATGCACGAGGTTCACAGGATGAATAGTTTCTGTCTACCTCGTACTAACTACATTTGGTTGGCAAGGACAGCTGAGTCACTGTCTTACTGTTTTTTTTGTTTTTGGTTGGCAAGACAAAATGTGATACACATGCTAACTATTTGGTATTTTCCTTCTACGACAGCTGAGTTATTGTCTTGTTTCTATTTGTCATGGTAAACATTGATATTGGTGCTACAGAGGCAGCAGTACCATTATTTTTTGTTATTTTCCTGCTAAGACAGCCGAGTCACTGTCTTGTTTCTGTTTGTCACGATAAACTTTGATATCTGTAATTCTATATTCTGGCTCCCAATCGATGCTAAAATAATAATCACTGATACTAGTAGTCGAAACTCATTTAGGCTGTGCAACGACTGTCCATACCTTTGGATGTGCCGTGAAAGTGGGCCGATCCCATTCCCCACCAATGTCCCAGGTATCGCCAGTGTCGAGGCTATCTATGAAGATCTCGTGAGGTAGAGAGTTCTCAGCGACAGCGAACACCCTGCCGGCATGCTCAAACACATTGGTGTTGATGATGTCCTTGTTCACCTTGCCAAACCTCAGCTACGTTGCATGCTCACTCGTTTCAGAACATCAGGTACGTAGATAGTACCTGAAATCAATCTGGGTTTGCAAAGTTTTATTTGCATTGCTTACATAGTTGAACATGAAGGCGGCGATGATGGCTGCAGAGTCGCCCTCAGTGGCAGGGAGGAAGCAAGGTTTCTGCCGGGCTGTTTCAAGCTTGAACGTCTCGGATTGCACGTAGCGGTTGGCATAGGAGAGTGACCAAGAAGAGCCTGAAGTGCTTTTGGTGACGTAGAGGGCATGGAGCATGCCCTCACCCTCAACCCATATCTCCCTGGATTGTCCGAAGATTGAGGTCGTCGAATGTTGGGCACCAAAGAGTGGATTGGAACCTATTTTATCAGTTCAGAATAGATTCAGCGTCTGCTTTTCCAAGCAATTCCTCTCCTTGATATGATATGATAGAGTATAGGTATAACAACAAAACTAGTAGAAAAGACGACAAACTGTCACCAATTCTGATGTACACCCCCTCGGGGAAATCATCTGGTATCGCTCCTTCAATCTGGTGTATCTCTATGGCTTCACCGATTTCGTCGACCGGTGCGAAATTGCTCTGCAAGCTCAGCTCGAAATCAGAAGCAAGTTCGAGGCTATTGTTTTTTCAGAAGCATGTTATATATAGTTATACAATGGAGCTAGAGAGGAGTTCTCTTGAACTAAGTAGGAGCACCTCGGAGGGAAACAGAGGTTGACCAGTGAATTCGAAGGTTGCATCAACCAGCACATCCAGCAGTCTCTGCGGCACGTCCTTGAGTGCCATGGAGGCTTCGTCCATCTTGGAGGAAAGATGCCCCAGGAGGCCTCCAGACAAAGGCTTCCCAACAAAGAAGAGGAACACGATGATGAGCACGTCACTTCAGTAGGCTACGGCAGAAGAATCACGAGTGACAGTGAGACAGAGTGAGAAGAATCTGGGAGAACCTTTGAGCTGGATCTTGCAGACAAGGTTTTTGAGCGAGCAGACCCTGCAGACATGATGGATGGTGGAGCCCCGTAGGTGCGAGGAGGTAGGCTCGGAAGAAACGAAGCCGACTCCTTCATCATCATCGTGTCGTGCGAGAAGAAGATTGAGACTGGTGGTCGAGCTTCGAAGGATTGGGGGCAAGACAAGACCGCAGGAGAGTTGATATAAGGCGCGAGCCCGTGCAGAGACGATCGCGCAAGGCGCAACCACTTATTATCCCTTGCTGACATGTGTGTCTGTGCTTGCGTTCTATCCTCATTCCTGTCACGTGCTTTCTTTCATGTGTCAATGTTCATGGCATGTAGTTTTAATTTCACAGTTGACGTACGTAAGAGCACAAACTGAATGCATTTTCTTTACTTGGCCATGACATTACTGTCTCGTCAGGCATTGTTTCTTAGATCCATTTGCACGTTTTTAGCGCAGGGAGGTACTCCCACTATCTCAAATTACAAGATGTTTTGACTTCTCAAAATATATGTTAGTGTATATCAAAGTGCATATTAAAATTTATTTATCTAAAAAAACTAAAATATCTTATAATTTGGAACGAAGCGAGGACAAATCAAGACTCGTATATGGTAATGTTCAAAATTGTTCGATGCGATAGCACATACTACATTATAAGCCTATCGCCCAATTGATTTTTTTTCAATTTTGAACATTTTAAATCAATATTTTAAAACAACCTAGTTTGAGAGACCAAGTTGATAAGTGCCTTGGTCTCGTTCATCTGTGATGAATGATTGGCACAAGAGTTGAGAGGTTCGAGGCTTTCCCATTGGGTTCATTTCATATGTGCTTGATTACACTAATAGCTAATTGAGGTGTTGTTGTGTTGTGTTGTGCCGTGTTGAGTATGTGGTGTGGCATGTCTCTTGGCTTGTGAATGTATAGGTGTTGTGTGTGTTGAGGTAGTCGACAAGTGATGGAGAAGGACAAGCGAGGAAGCTTGTGCATGATGGACCAAGAGTGGTGAAGGGTGGATGAGTAGGCTTGGACTGAGGGAGTAAGAGACCGATGATGGACCATGGTGGTGGCATCAGGCACATGAAGAGTAAGAGCACATGGTGATGGAGATGGCGTCGGTGAGTCAAGGACGAGGATAGACTAAGTCACGGTGAGGCGTCAACTACTGGGGAAACCGAGCATAAGTGAGAAAAATATTGTAGCGAAAATTTGTTTTGTCGCTAATTCCTGTGTTATTAGTGACCAAACTAATTTTCATCACTATTACATCGATTATTAGTGGCAAACTACTATTTCGCCACAGGTTTCACCTTCAGTGGCGAATTTAGTGGAGAAACATTAATTTGCCACTAATAAATAGGTTAATTGTGACTAAATATTTTTTCCTTACTATTACGCCATTTATCAGTGGCAAAAATTTATATCGCCACATGGTACAAGGTTAGTGAGAAAATGTTGTGGGGAAATAAAATGTTGCCACTATTTAGCATATTAATTGTGACTAAAAAAATTCCCTCCACTATTATTACATTTATCAGTGATAAATTTTATATCGCCACATGGTACATTGTGGCAAAATATTTTTAGTCACTATTTATCAGATTAATTGTGAGCAAATAAAGTTTTCTCACTATTTTAATTTTTATGAGTGACAAAAACATGCATAGCATATGATACATAATTAGTAAAAAATACTGTGGAAATTTTGATATTATCAACATTTAATGGATTATTTGTAACTTAATATTTCTATCGTACTGTTCTAAGATTTTTCGTCACGATTATTTCTTTCTGAACACATAAGTTAAAGGGTACATTTTGAAAATTAACTAGAATTTTGTCGTATTGGGGACGGTTGGGTTTGGTCAACAAAGGTTGCCTATTGCATTTGGTTTAAAAAATCTTAAAGAATCATACCCATATTACGCATGTACGGTACAGCTCAGAAAGATACAAATGAACCACTATTCTGGCACTTTTTCACAGCGTCTTGCAAAAATAAGAAACTGATGAAGCACATGTGCAGATATGCTGTTCCTCACTTAACTGAACAGGCCCTTGTTCCTCTTTCGTCACCCAAGTAACTGAGTACTACTCCTCTCCCTTGTATCTTCTCTCAAGCAACAATAGTATCAAATCAGAGGCGATTCTTATCCAGTCATCTAGCTGCTCTCCCCCCTCTCCGTCGGTCAGCTGCACATCCTTCTCCCACCACTCGACGTTGTCCGCCGCCGCCTCTGCTCTGCAGCGAGGTCCCTCGTCACCTGTCCTAGCTTCGGTGACCCCATGGGCTGCTTCAAGAACAAACACTTGTATGGTCTTGAAAGGGGAGAGGCTTACGACGAAAACAGGAATGATAGTGCCGACAACTTGTAGATCATATATTAGAAGTATTACCTGTCCGCAGAGGCGTTGGACACCAGCGTCTCAGCTCTGCACCAGTGCGGATGTGCACGTGTGCTGACCAGAGGCAAGAAGATCTGTGGGCAGCGGCCGTAGCAGTGTGGGGCTCTTTTGGGGTTTATAAGCGGTAGCCACTGAGTATTGAGTTCAGATTTGTGGGCTACCAGATCCTGGTGCAAAAACTTAGGAGGTTCTTACTCTATTTTTTTTCTTTCTATTTGTGTGGTGAACATTAATGCCGATGAATAAATGGCAGGCAACAAGGTTAGTACTTGTTAAGGACCCGATTTTATATTTGACATTTATTATACTCATCATACTTTAATGAATAGAAGCCGATAATATATGCATTCGAACCATATAAGCGTTCAAACCATATTCTGTGGTGAACATTAACCGATGAATAAATGCTTATATTTGGCTTGGTATTTATTAATAGAAAATTATGGTATTCTATATTAATTTTTTAATAGATATTTGATCTATGATTTATATAAATTGTTTATGTATGATTTTATATATTAAAGTATTAGTTTAACACTTTTATTTGTAAGTGACAATTTTTTTCACATATATTATATACTCATACTTTAATCCTGAGTTGTTTAATGATATTGTTCTTACAAAACTACGTATGAAAAGGTAGACACATGATATTAACACAGGTAGCAGATGTTTACATGCATACACGCACACTCATCCAAATGAGTCATCACAATGAAATCAATTCAGGAAAATAGGAGCAACTACATCGTAACTAACATGGGTGGTCAGGTTCCACCACAAGAAACTAACCAGATAAGCTACACTCAATTCGCAAATAGTGAATATCTTCCACCAAAAGAACCTAAACAGATGAGCTACACTCAATTCACATATATTGAATATATCTTTGATTGACCCCTCTATGTATAGTTTCTGGCTCCGCCCAAGGGTTTATGAGGATACACTGTCTACGATTCTTGGCTCTGTTACAACGCTACGAGGAACTCAAGGAGACAAGGACCCTTTAGTACACTTGCTAGCTTTTGCAGTCAAGGTCTATGGAGTTCTTCGCCTCCCATATATATCTTTTTATTTGTTTTATTAGCTATTAATGTTAAACTCAATATGTGGAGTTAGTTAGACTTTGTAAGAGTAATAATTTTAGAAGGGAAAAATAATTAGATATATCAATTAATGAATAATTATTTATATAATATTTATCTTCAGCAAAATAAAGTATGAAAACAATTTACAACAATAAATATATTAGGTTTAAATTAAGTTAAAAAATACTAAAATGTAGGACCTGGTTTTAAAAATAAAATCAGATACACACCATATGTGAACCTAGGAAGTCAAATCATATATATGGCTACAACTAGAGGTAACATCAATAGACAATACTTAATATATAACGTACTTAGTACAAAAAATATAACCTTAGATAGTAGACAACGGAAAGACACTCCGATCTTCAGGTGAAAGCTCCAAATCCACAAGGACAACTGACTGGTTGATCACAAGCCTAACTCTTCTAGACACTAGCAATCTAGTACCCATTCGAGATTTTTTCAAAGTATAGAAAAGTAAAGCAAGCGTAAGTACATATCATACTCAGCAATATAACATAGGGTTCATGAGGCTCAAAATGTTGACACTGGCTTACTGCGATTAGCATTTTAGTGAGTCAAATTTTAGCATTAGAGTAGTAGCAAGTTCAGCTTAAGCCCTAAATAACCACATGATCATGTAAACAAGAATAATGTATAGCAAAAATAATTAATCATAAGTGAGCATCTGTATCATCAGTATCATTAGTGTTCATCATCTATTCAGTAAGGAGCCTAGGCCGCTCATGACTGTGAGTACGGCTGATATACCAGTTTTACACTCTGTAGAGGTTGTACACTTTCACCATGAGCCGTGATATCCATATGCCTGGGTCAATTACTCCCAAAATACTTTCAAGATGAGCAGACAGGGATCACTATAAAGTCTTTCAAAGGTTCGTCTAGCAAGTGTAGCCCGCTAAGGTTTCCCCATCAATAAGCATGAACTCCCCTCCAAGGTGTGACTAACAAAAATACAAAGAAATCAAAGTGCACCCGTTTGGCTGGCCGAGAGCATACATATCGGAGCCCCTCTTGTGCCTTTTTGTAAGCTACTACGAGCTAGAAAAGGTTCTTATACTTGACTAAAGCCAGAGCCATGTAGCACTTATGGTTGTACTATAAGTCCTGGGGGAATCCACTTATAAATAAGTCCTTAGAGAGAAAAACCAGAGTACCATAAAAACAGTCCAATGCTCTAGCCCTCTCGAGCCATGTTGCTAAAAAGCCTCTTTTAAACGTTTATTGCATATACCATTAGTCAAGTTACAGATCATGGTTATTTAATTCGAGCACTAGCAAAGTTCTACCCAAATGCAAGTACCCAGGGTGTCAAGGTATAAGGTACAAAGTACTAGGATATCCTCAGAGGTAACAAGGTAGACACATGCATATGAATTTAGTATATTAAGGTTAATAGAAAACAAGAATAATCCCATGCTATACTTGCCTTAAACTCTGGTCTTCTGTTGATTCTCAACCTCCGAAAGATTGCTTCTTGATCACCAACGCAAAACTCACTAACTGGACATATTCGTAGAACACCACACAAGCATCCATGCAAACATACACGAAACAAACAATAGAACTAAATTAGAACAGTACACCAAACATAT